CACACACTCCGTTTCCTCATGGTAACCATAGCAACAGGCCAGGCAGCCAGGCCAGCCAATGGGGAGGCGTCGGTGGAGGCAAAGCGATGGCAGCGTGAGGCGTGTGTGTGTGTCAGGCAGTGAGGCTTCACAGACACACGGGGTCACTTCAGCAGCGTTCACACACAGCGTCTCGGTTACTCAGCGTTGCATCAGACACTGAATGTTTCTGACAGGACCAGAATCACCTCAGAGGACGGAGAGTCTCTGCTTCACATGCCTCTGCGTGTTTTTTTTTTTATGTTCTGTCTCTCATCTTCTGTTTCCTTTTTCTTTCACACATTACAGACTTTTCATGTTCAGCCTTCTGATGCTAAACTGACTTCACCGTGTGCTGTAAAACAGTTTGGTTATGAAGTCAGACTCAGTCAGATGGATGTAGGACTCGGATGGAGTCAGACTGTTTAATTATTCCTTAAAACATCAGCTTCAATCGAAAATATGGAGATAATATGTCAACTGTAAACTCAATCTGCATTATTTTTCTTTTTCATTTTTAAATGAGGGTGGGAATATGAGATTATTAGAAGCAGTAAATTAATTAATGGTTACCAGAGCAATATTGGACCAGAATTACCTTTTGTGGAAAATGAAAGTAAAAAAAATGGGCTAAATAAAAGCAATACTTCTTTGAATGATCTTCATTCAGGGAAGAGGCTAAGCTAAATAGAGTAACATAAAGCTAGAAGTTCATTTTATGGGTAAGAAAAACGAAAAGATTACCTGAGGTAGTGATATAAATGACTCTGTCAAAGCCAATGTTAACCACAGAAACACTGAACCAGGGGTACTTTCTGTAGAGGAGTGGGAACCACTGACAGAAATATCAATGTTAATGGTTCTATGCAAAGTTAATGGGTAATAACGGTTCATCTACAGAGGAACAACTATTAACAGAAGTACTGAGCAAGAAGAACTTTCAATGGGAGGGTATAAAACTTTGCTTTTTTCAAAGGTAATGATGGAAAATTGCATGTGTTTCACACAAAGCAATCGTGAAAAAAGCACAGCTAAAGACAGAAGCAATGAACTAGGGGTACTTCTGCAGGTAAATAAATAAAAAACAGTGAACAAAGTCAAAGCCAGCAATGGCCTTACTGTTTGTTTCCCAAAATCAGGCGTGTTTAACTAAACTGAAGACTGAATCAGGGTTTCGTATGTATGAAAACAGCTCAAAAGGTAAATAAAGTCAATGACAGCAATACCTTTAAGGATGCCTTCATTCAAAGAGAAAACAAGAAGTTCAATTCTGATATAAACTGTCATGGTCTTTTCAATGTTATGGGGATTGACATCTCATGTGACTTTCGGATACTATTCATTGGCAAAAGACTGCATTTTGTTGCTTTGTACTTGTGACAGTATGATGACAATATAGTTGAGTTATATTCTAATATATTGTTTTAGCCCTTATATTTAGTCTTTTCTTTTACAGTGCTAAAAAATAAAGAGAACACATAAACAGCACAGTATAACTTCAATCAAATCCAACTTCTGTGAAATAAAACTGTCCAGTTAGAAAGCAACACATCAACACATCACATACTGTGAAATTGTAAATGGAATAGACAGCAGGTGGAAATTATTGCCAATTAGAAAGACACACTCTATAAGAGAGTGGTTCTGCAGGGGGGGACCACAGGCCACGGCTCAGTACCTATGCTTTCTGGCTGATCTTTTGGTAATTTTCAATGTTTGTGCTTTCACAATCGTGGTAGCATGAGACGGACTGTACAACTTGCACACGTGGCTCAGGTAGAGCAGCTCATCGAGGATTGCACATCAATCCAGCTGTAGCAAGAAGGTTTGCTGTGTCTGTATGCATAGTGTCCAGAGGCTGGAGGCATTACCAGGAGACAGGCCAGTACACCAGGAGACGTGAAGCAGGCCGTAGGAGGGCAACAACACAGCATCAGAACCACTACCTCCACATTTGTGCAAGGAGGAACAGGAGGAGCACTGCCAGAGCCCTGCAAAATGACCTCCAGCAGGCCACAAACGTCCATATGTCTGCACAAACTGTTAGAAGCTGACTCCATGAGGATGGTATGAGGGCCTGACGTCAACAGATGGGGGTTGTTCTCACAGCCCACCACTGTGCAGGATGCTTGGCATTTACCAGAGAACACCAGGATTGGCAAATTCACCACTGGTGCCCTGTGACCTTCACAGTTGAAAGCAGGTTCACACTGAACACAAGTGACAGATGTGATAGATGTAGAGTGATCTGCTGCTTGCAAAATCTATAACCGGTTTGCCATTCAGTCAGTAATAGTGTGGAGAGGCATTTCTTTGGAGGGCCCCACAGCCCCCCATGTGCTCGCCAGAGGTAACTTGACTGCCATTAGGAGATGAGATCCTTAGACCCCTTGTGAGAAAATATGCTAGTGCTGTTGGCTTTGGTTTCTTCCTAATATAGGATAATGTTAGACCTCATGTGGCTGTAGTTTGTCAGCAGGTCCTGCAAGATGAAGACACTGAAGCTATGTACTGGCCCGCCTGTACTGAGCCTCATTTTTACCTGTTCTAATGACATTACATCAAAGTTAGGTCAGATTGTAGGATTTTTCCACTAACTAATACTGATCCAAGCCTCTATTGGTTAACATATTTGATTTAAATTGTTGATATTTTTGTGCACGTTCAGCTTTGAACAGAACAAAAATAATTATTGAGAATATTTAATTCATATCTAGGATGTGTTATTTGAGGTTTCCCTTTATTTTCTGAGCAGTGTAGTTTTTCCTCTTGATGACACTTTCAAATATTTTTTAAAACTTTGTTTTGCTGCATCTTAAATTCTGAATTTAGTAAAACGTTCGGCTGGTAAAATTTGTAAGAAGACTATAATTAACCAGGCAAATATTTTAGAAATGTTATTACAGTTGATATAAGTATTCATTTTAAATGCTCACACAGTGATTCATTAACAAGTTATATTCAGAGATATTCTATTTTTTCATTTATTTTCTTTCTTTTGTGAGTATGTCTAGACTTTAATACATGTGTGAAAGGGAAAGATCCATGTTAAAGTGTCTAATAAAGCTACAGAGCTCAGTTTCTGTCACCAATGATTTACTCTTGTTTTCACTGCTGCTTTTTTAGGGGGGTGGGTAAGAATATCATGTCTCCCCTCTTAATCCAACCTGCAAAGCTCTGTTTGGTTCAGCTGCTTATCCAACTGGGAAAACGGGACATGTAGGCGATGATTGAGAGCTCTGGAAGCTGAATCATACCAAGGCCGTGAAAGGTTAAGGATACCAATCGCTCTCAGAAGCTTATGAACAATAAAGATAAATTAATAAGTTTAGGAGTGATATGTCTTGGTCAAAGATAATGTTTTTATTGCAACAGGTAACAATCATACTGTAAACCTAATTTTTGTAGTATTAAGCAGACCGTGTGCATGTTTTATAGACCTGGATGACGGCTGTAATTTAACAGTACTAAACTCTGTAGTTGGTGAGTTAATTCATGGGATAGAGGTTTTAGAATCACTTTTACCACCAGTAAGTAGCTGGGTTTTGTCTGAAAATGTTTCAGCCTCTCACCTCACTGTGCAGATGCTCTCAAATCCAACTTCACTTCAGTTTATTTTGGTTTGAATACATTTCTATAAGGATCTATGAGGTTAATGTCTGGACTTTGACTATCCCTTACAGCATAGAGATGGACTGATACATCAGCCTGCCAATAGTTTAATATTTTTACATTTACTAAATAATTGCATTTCAAATTTGGTAGCAATTTAAAGTGGATTGTAGTTTATTTCATTTCAATATTTAATTTACTGATGATGACTTTTCTTTGTTCAACTGTTGAAAAGTTAGTATGGGGTTTGAGAATAAGGGGAGGCAAAAACGTTCATGTCAACAAAAGGGGCCTTTCTCAGTGAGAAAAGTCTCTGTGTGTTTGGAAGCCATGCATTGCTGCTCTTGTTCTCTGGTGTTGCACCAATTCCATTTTATGGCCCCAATACCGATACCTGGCTGAGCAGTATTGGCCAATACCGATACCATCTGTTTTAAATTGATGTGTGTGTTTATATAAGGAACTGCATACTACTGGATGTAAAATAATTGCCATCATGGCTTTGTCAAGCTGCTGCCTACCTTTGTGAAGCAGGAAAAAGACTAAAACAAAGAGAATCCAGTAGAACTTTTTATTGCCTTCCTGGAATGGGTAAAAATAGTTGAATAAACTTTTGGCTCTCAAAATGGTATCAGTGCTCTATCTGTTGGTACTCACCGATACCGATACAACCATTTTAGTGCTGGATCGGAGCCCCGCCTGATACTGGTATCGGTATCGATGCAACACTCCTGTTTTCTATCCATAATTATTGATCTCACAGCTAAATGTTTCTTGTTATTTACATTGAGACTTAAGTCATGTTTATTATCATTTGTATCATATAGATGAGCAAGAAAAAAAAAACAATATTGGCTCTAATAATCAGCCCAAAAATATCTGCAACACATATGGGAAGATTGATGTTAAAGTTATTGGTATTGGTATTGGTTGACCTCTACTTTACAGTTGGTATGGTGTGTTTTGTTTCTGCTGCACTGGAGTTTTAAAACATGGTTTTGTGCCCATTGTTCAACATTTGTACCTTGGTCTTAGTTGTCAAAAGGAGTTTTTTCTACATGTTTTGTGATCAACCGGAATGCAACTATGCAAACCCAAGTTGTGCTCTCTGAACAATTATGTATTTTAAAGGGTTAGAAAATGTTATTTTAAGTCTTCTGAGATGCAGGGGCAGGAACAGTTACTATCTAACGTTGTCCCTATCTTTGCATTCTGTTACACATCTATATGAAGCAATCCTCCAAAACGCCTCTGTTACTGTAGAGGCAATCACACTAATAGTGGCTCATAGATCCAAAAAGTTTAGAACTGACTGAATGTTTGGGTTTTCCTATTTCTAACTTCTGTTCATTTGTTATTTTTTTTATCAGGGTCGCCATGTCAAAACAGGCCAGCTTGCTGCTATCAAGGTCATGGACGTTACTGGAGTAAGTGTCACACTCACAGTCATTATTTCTGCCTCACAGCAGATATCTCTATATCTGCTAAACATCCTTGTCCTGACCTTCTATATCTGCTTGTTTATATTCTTTAGGATGAGGAAGAGGAGATTAAAGCAGAGATTAATATGCTGAAGAAGTACAGTCACCACAGAAATATTGCAACCTATTATGGTGCTTTTATCAAGAAAAACCCTCCTGGAATGGATGACCAGCTATGGGTAGGAGTTTGCTTTAATCAACAGATAAAATGTTACATATTATATCAGATATTGTCTTTATTAGGTGATTTTTATTTTTATTTTGTATTGATAAAACCGTAGTGGATCATTTTGAAAGCCTGTTTATTCCTCTGACAGCTAGTGATGGAGTTCTGTGGGGCCGGATCGGTGACGGACCTGATCAAAAACACCAAAGGGAATTCTTTGAAGGAGGAGTGGATCGCCTACATCTGCAGGGAGATACTTAGGGTGAGGAAAAAAAACAAAACTAAAAAAGAAAATTTAAAAAATTCTATATTGACCAAAACCTAAACTAAGGGAAACCCAAACCGGCTCCCTGAGGTACACCAGGTTTATCTGTGGGTTCCCACAAGTAGTTCTGTGCAAAAAAGGAAAAACAAAAAACTTGTGGTGTTATTTGTGCTTTTTTTTCAGGGCTTAACCCATCTCCACCAGCACAAAGTCATCCACAGGGACATAAAGGGCCAGAATGTGCTTCTGACTGAGAACGCAGAGGTTAAACTAGGTGAGGAACTCTTAGCTTTGAGGAACCCAAAGCTAAACAATGTGAAGATAAAAGCCATATCTACATTGTGTTCGGTGTTGCTTGTGTGTTTCCACAGTGGATTTTGGTGTGAGTGCCCAGCTGGACCGCACGGTGGGGAGAAGGAACACATTTATCGGGACGCCGTACTGGATGGCCCCCGAGGTCATCGCCTGTGACGAGAACCCTGACGCCACATACGACTTCAAGGTAGACCTGATGGCTGTTGGTCTGTCAGACCAAGGTAGAAATAGATTAGAAAGGAAGGAGGAAGCTTTTAAAACTGTTCAGAGTATATAGTAAATACCATTATTGGAAAAAAAAAAAAAGCATTCACTGCAGGTTCTGGGCTGTATGAGGTCCTCCAAACTTTTTAGCTGCAACATTTAACCTCCTGGAGCCTGAATTGATATACGTGTACATATGCATGTTTTCCCTTCAATGCGATGCCAAATTAAAATGGTTAATGTTACTAAATAAATATAAATGAAGGTAAAGTTTATTTTGTAACAGCAGTTATAACTACATAATAGCATATACTGTGACTAGCACTGGGGTGATGGAAAAACGCTATGGTGGCTGTTTGCCTACACTGCAAAAAAAAAAAAAAAAAGTGTAAATACACTTATTTTAAAACTGCCTTACAATAAGTAAATTTACCGTTAATATGAGAAGGAAAATAAGATGATCTGCCAATGGAATGAGCATTTTCACCCTTAAAATAAGATAATTAAATATTATGCACCTAAAATAAGATTTTTTCTTACCTATTTTAAATGTACATTGTCTTGTTCCGATGGCAAAGTGTCTCACTTACTTCCTCATTTCAAGAAAAAATGCTCTTATTTTAGGAAAAAATTAACTGTAATTTACATTTTTTGCAGTGTAATGCAAGTGGTTTGTTGCTTATTACCAACAACAGGCATCAAAGAGTTAAACAACCTCAGGCCTGTTGAGGATCTAAAATTAAGAACACAATTAAACGTGTTGGTTTAAAACCGTTTTATGAGCTTAAAAACTTTATACCTTTAACTTTTTCAAATATTTTACCATTTCAAGTACCTCAACCATTGAGCACCTTAACCGTTAAAGAATCACAGAGCTTTAAATAATCTTAAACTTTTCGAAAAACTTGAACCTTCTCAGGAATCCAGGCCTCTTGACAAACCTTCATCATTAAAGCAACTTGTATTTGTGTTATATTTAATATGTGACCTGCACATCATCTTCAAAGCCTATTCCAGGCAACTATAGACAAGGCAAGGCAAGGCAAGGCAAGGCAAATTTATTTGTATAGCACAATTCAGTACAAAGACAATGCAAAGTGCTTTACATGATTAAAATACAGGAAGATAAAACAGAATCAAAGCAAGTAGGAAAAAAATAAATAAATCCATGTGACTATATGATCTGGTTGAACTGTAAATTGACTTGGGATGACATGTGATGTGAATTGGCGCTATATAAATAAATTGAATTGAATTGAATACAAACGGGTTTAATTTAAAATACATGCATAAATCTAATCTCCATGCATTTTGACGTTTCTCTGCTGATTTAACACTATTAGGCCCCTAATATATCATAACCATCAGTTTATGCTCCTTCTCTCATTTTTTGCTTTTTATGCTACTGCATCCTCTCCCCTACTCGCATGTGAGCCTGTTTCTCTGTACTCATGTCAACTTTTGTCACTTTGAGGGAGGGAACAACTTCAGAAAGAAAACTGCCTGTGATTGGCTAATTTTCAGGAAATCCCTCCTCTTGATACATTACTGTTTTCATCCTCAATGTGGCTGGTAACGTTAACAAAGCATCTTCAGGCTAATAGCTTTGAAACATTGGTTTACTGAAGTCATCCTTTAATAACATCAATAATGTGTTCTGTATTCAGCAGCAACAGTATGAGGCTAAATTGGGGCCATAAAGTTTGTTAATAAAATTGTTTGAGAAAACAAAAAAATTTATTTTTTTTGCAAAAAAAAAAAAAACTGAAAATAAAAGTTTGTTAAAACTTTTTTTTTGTCAAACATACATATATATATACATGCACACACACAAATATATATATACACATACACTATATTGCCAAAAGTATTTGCTCACCCATCCAAATTATTGGAATCAGGTGTTCCAATCACTTCCATGGCCACAGGTGTATAAATTCAAGCACCTAGGCATGCAGACTGTTTTTACAAACATTTGTGAAAGAATGGGTCGCTCTCAGGAGCTCAGTGAATTCCAGCGTGGAACTGTGATAGGATGCCACCTGTGCAACAAATCCAGTCGTGAAATTTCCTCGCTCCTAAATATTCCACAGTCAACTGTCAGCTGTATTATAAGAAAATGGAAGTGTTTGGGAACGACAGCAACTCAGCCACGAAGTGGTAGGCCACGTAAACTGACGGAGCGGGGTCAGCGGATGCTGACGCGCATAGTGCGAAGAGGTCGCCAACTTTCTGCAGAGTCAATCACTACAGACCTCCAAACTTCATGTGGCCTTCAGATTAGCTCAAGAACAGTGCGCAGAGAGCTTCATGGAATGGGTTTCCATGGTCGAGCAGCTGCATCCAAGCCATACATCACCAAGTGCAATGCAAAGCGTCGGATGCGGTGGTGTAAAGCACGCCGCCACTGGACTCTAGAGCAGTGGAGACGCGTTCTCTGGAGTGACGAATCGCGCTTCTCCATCTGGCAATCTGATGGACGGGTCTGGGTTTGGCGGTTGCCAGGAGAACGGTACTTGTCTGACTGCATTGTGCCAAGTGTAAAGTTTGGTGGAGGGGGGATTATGGTGTGGGGTTGTTTTTCAGGAGCTGGGCTTGGCCCCTTAGTTCCAGTGAAAGGAACTCTGAATGCTTCAGCATACCAAGACATTTTGGACAATTCCATGCTCCCAACTTTGCGGGAACAGTTTGGAGCTGGCCCCTTCCTCTTCCAACATGACTGTGCACCAGTGCACAAAGCAAGGTCCATAAAGACATGGATGACAGAGTCTGGTGTGGATGAACTTGACTGGCCTGCACAGAGTCCTGACCTCAACCCGATAGAACACCTTTGGGATGAATTAGAGCGGAGACTGAGAGCCAGGCCTTCTCGTCCAACATCAGTGTGCGACCTCACAAATGCGCTTCTGGAAGAATGGTCCAAAATTCCCATAAACACACTCCTAAACCTTGTGGACAGCCTTCCCAGAAGAGTTGAAGCTGTTCTAGCTGCAAAGGGTGGACCGACGTCATATTGAACCCTATGGATTAGGAACGGGATGTCACTTAAGCTCATATGTGAGTCAAGGCAGGTGAGCAAATACTTTTGGCAATATAGTGTATGTGTATTTATTATTTTTTTTCAACGTTTTTTGTTATAACTTGCAGATTTTTTTTTGGCTACAAACTTAGTTTGGCGTTGGGCGCGGCGCCTCAGATGATGGGCATGTGGAATCATGACTAACAGCCCAACATAGTGGTTGAACAAGCTATTCCCAGCTTTGGCATTCAGGGACCATTGGAACTGAAAATTTCATCATCAGTATTCTATGTGTATGTGTTTAAATTTGGAAATATAGCAAGGTTGGCCAATAGAAGCAGCTTATATGAATACATGGCTGTAATCCCAGAGGATATAATTTGATCTTGATCTTGCAAAGCATTTTAATCACAGGTGGTTTACTTTCTCAGGTTGGTTCCACCATTTATGAAACAAAAGCTAACATAAGCGAACAGAAACGAGTCCACACAATTAAAAGAGAATCTACAGGAGCGCAAAAAGCAAGAGAAGGAGCATGGAGTGATGGTGGTGACATATTGTGGGCCTCATTGTATTAAATCTGCACTTCTTTTAAAATGCAAACACAGCGTTTCTGTGTGTTTGAAATAAAACTGCTTCTATCAGTTTTTATTATGAGTGTGCACTTATGGCTGAATTCTTTCTTAAAACTCAACATCTCTACAGTCAGAAAATCAGACTGTTTGTAGCTGTGAAGAAGGATCACAAGGTGACCTTTAGAAAATGATTCCCTTTGTTAGTTTTTGGATTCCTGCAATCCCGGATTATGCTACTGAGCAGACAGAAACAAGAAGCATCCTATGAGAGACAGGGAGTCTGCAGTGGTTGCTGCGTGAAGGATGTGCAGCACTGAGGACAGATGAACCCCTGCAGCGAGCTGGTGGAGGATGAGCGCCTACACCATTAACTCTGACCCTCCAGGGTTAAATGTGTCAGGAAAGGCTGAGTTTATCTTCCACTAGTCGTTCTTGCTGGCTGAAACTAAGCACAGAAACATGTAATTGTGTTTAAAGGAAGGCAGAGCTCTGCAGTGGCAGATGGGTAATGTCTCCCTCTGTATTTTTATCACTTGACGAGAACACTGACCTGTGGAACCATCTCTCAGAAACTGGAAGTGTTGAGTGGGAAACACGTTGTGAGGATGTGTTTGTCTCTCTGCAGAGTGATCTGTGGTCGCTCGGCATTACAGCCATAGAGATGGCAGAGGGAGCACCACGTAAGTGTGATTTTATTCCCATCCGCTGAAAATCAGCACAATTTGTCCTTCTTGACTTTAAATCAGCACTGGTTCTTTTCAATTTTTCTTCTTGTCGTTATTTTTCCTTTCTGTTCTCTCCTACATTTCCTCTACTTTCACAATTTTTTTATCATATATTTTCTTTTTTCTCTTTTAACTATCTAATTTTCTTCTTATTGTTATTTACTCACACACCTTCCATTTTTATATACTTTCCAACTATTTCTATATTATCCTTCCTTTATTTTTCCTTATTGCTATTTTCTTTAATTTCCTTTTTATTTATCTCCTTTCCATTCCTCGCATCCTCTTTATTTCCTCTCTCATTTGTGATCCTCCATCCTTTCCCATTCAGCCCTGTGCGACATGCATCCAATGAGAGCGCTCTTCCTCATCCCCAGAAACCCTGCTCCCAGGCTTAAGTCAAAGAAGTGGTGAGTCTGATAATCTGAAGAGCACTAGTGAAAGATTACTGACCTGCTACAGAGACAGAACGGCTAATGTGTTTGCACGTCCAGGTCGAAAAAGTTCCAGTCATTCATAGATAGCTGTTTGGTGAAGAGCCACAGCCAGCGACCGAGCACCGAGCAGCTCCTCAAACACCCGTTTATCAGAGACCTTCCCAACGAGCGGCAGGTCCGGATCCAGCTAAAGGACCACATTGACCGAACCAAGAAGAGGAGAGGAGAGAGGGGTGAGGCTGCATCCCCCATGACTCACCTCACAACTCCTGACAGACGCATTCAAAGATAACATGACCTTTTTGTTTTTTCCTTGACAGATGAAACGGAATATGAGTACAGTGGTAGTGAGGAAGAGGATGAAGAGAGGGATATCGGAGAGCCCAGGTAAGAATATTTAGTCTAAATTTAAATATCAGTTGGGGATTCGGAGCAAGAGAGAAAACCTAAACTCTGAATTTGTTGTTTTGGTGATGGTTATAGCAACAGATACAGCCATAAACAACACACATCTATGGTGGATATCAGAATAAAACCAGGCAACTGACTAGACCTGGCAATTATAAAAACAGCCAGGTCCCAAAAGGCCAGCAACATTTTCAAAAGCTAGCCTTTTTTTAACAGTCAACAGACCTCTGTAGGAATGCTGATGGAGCTATGGTTTGGGTCCTGATCTACTAATATCCTGAATAAAGAGCACTAAATGTTTGTGCAATGGAATTACATATTTTCAGATCAATATTCAGCTCTGGGTGCGTATCGATGCTCTGTTCAGGCTACCCTTCTCCAGAAAACTCCCCTTGCAACTTGAGGGTGTTGGACCTGTGACTGAATTTGACATGTGACCCGTAGCACCGCTTTACAGCAGTCTGAGCTTCCATTAAACCGCAGAGCTAACTAAGCTAAAAGTAACTGTTGGCCAACAAAGCAGATATGACCCCTACCTGTGTCACAGTGGGGTAGAGGTTTGACAGGACCCAAATCCAGACACGAAGCTGAAGTGGTTTCTTCGAGATTTAATAACAAAAAGGGTAATAGAGGCAAAAATCCAAAAACATAAATCCACAAAAACTGAGAACCAGGAATACTAAATTGAAGGTAATTGAAGGAAATGATGACAAACCTGCAATAGTGACTGAGCAGGAGGTGCATATATGGGAGAGAGAAACAAAGACCAGGCTGATCAGCAGATTGGGAGCAGCTGTGAACAGAGGAGGCTAGAAGGGAGCTAGGAGAAGGAGACTGACACAAGTGGGCAACAGAGGGCAAACAAGAAATACCTAAGAACTCAAATACGTCCAGAAAACACCACAAAATAAGAATTAAACCAATAAAACATGAAAAATATGGATCAAAGTAAAACTGAAAACTCAAAAAGAAAACTTGACAACCTGATCAGACATATTTTGGTTCTCTGATGTAGGGTTTAACCTAGAGGGTGAATGTGGCCTTCTTTTCTACAATTAACTTGATACATTTTTGGGATTTTAAACCTGAAAGGTATGGTTTTAGCACCCCTAGTGACTGAAAGTTACACAGAGTTTTGCATTGCTATCAGCAAATGTGGGAGAACAGAGTGGGTTTACTTTACATGTCCATAAGGTGACTGTAATTTGCAACAGCACTGGACACAGATGGCGGGTATGAGAAGGCATAGGTAGAGGAGAAGATAAAGGCCCTTCTTTGTTTGTGTAAATCTTTAGAACTGATTTGCAGCAGCAGATTGTTAGTTTCAGGACCTCAGCAATGAACAGTGCCTGTAGGTTAGGAGCACACAGAAAAAGCTAATTGTTACACAATATGCTGAAAAATAACACCTTCAAGAGTGCTACATGTCATTACACTATTAATTTTTCATACAAAAGACAGGCTTATGAAAAGTTACTTTTTCACTACATCTGACAGAGGGACAGTAGCCTTAGCGGTTAGTAGTTAGCAATAGCTTCTGCTGATGTTTTTATCTTTTAAGAAGTAAATAAATTATTATCCTGGAATAATTTTACATTGTAAGTCAGATAATAATTTATGTATGAAAATATATCATTTAATCATCATCTTGTTAATAATTTAGTTAATTGTATGTGGGTTTCCCGCCTTGGTTATCTTTACTCTTTACAGCTACTTACATTTACAGCTGTCATGGGCTGTGGATCAGGCAGATATTCGGACACAGCCGAAGAGATGTTTCATAGGGATTATTAACATAATATAGTAATTTATAACACATGTAACTCAAACTTGTTCTTTCCAAAGTGTCCCCTTGTAAAATCTATGACTGCAGGACCATACAGGATGATAACAGATGCTAATGCAGGGTTTCTAAGATAAAATGAGCTTCCCTTCTCCACGTAGGGCCAGTGATATAGTGTTTATAGAAGGTTACATAGGGTTGATGGATTAAGTCGGTACATTGCTTCTATAATGCTAGCCTTGGTGCAAAATAAGATGAATTACATTTTAGTATCGAATAAAAGACCAGTTTAGTGTCACTAAACAGCTTAAATGGTGCTAGATGATGCCACCTCTGACTTTTGCCATATCTGCTGCTTTTCAGCTCAATCATCAACATTCCCGGGGAGTCCACTCTCAGACGGGACTTCCTGCGCCTCCAGCTGGCCAATAAGGAGCGATCGGAGCTGATCCGGCGTCAGCAACTTGAGCAGCAGCAGAACGAAGAGCACAAGCGCCAACTACTGGCTGAGAGGCAGAAACGCATCGAGGAGCAGAAGGAGCAGCGGCGACGGCTGGAAGAGGTAGCAACAACTCTGAGGTTCCAAGAACAAAGAAAAAAGCATCAAAGTCATTATGTGGCTATTAATAAAACCTCAACATAGAAAGGGGAAAGAAACTATTACTGGGTAAATGAGCACCACTGCAACTAAGCTGTAGCTATTTTACCTCGTCAAAAGCCATCAGATGTGATGCTGGAAAAAAGCGCACCTGTGTTGTTGTTCATCAGAATACAAGAGACACACACCTGGCATGCACAAATACACAGCTAACACTGCGGTGTGAAAATTGTTCCCACTTACAGCAACAGCGTCGAGAGCGGGAGATGAGGAAGCAGCAGGAGCGGGAACAAAGGAGGAGGTATGAGGAGATGGAACAGCTCCGGCGGGAGGAGGAGAGGAGGCACGCAGAGAGAGAACAGGTAGAAAAACACCTGGATAATAATTCTTTCAAAACCTTTAGTTAGTTTCACTGCTTCTTAAAGCACTTTGGTCAACTTCAGTTGCTTTTATGTCCTCCAATAAATATATGCCACTTTTTCTAGTAACCTCTATATGAGTTACACCAACATTTAATTTCCAATTAATAAAATACGTTTGAATTGAACATAAAAATCTATTAGTAAATAGAATGCTCTTCTGAGAAAATTATGTATGAAAAATAACTTTATATATTTCATCCTAACTTGTAAAATATAAAGGTAAATTAACTAAATTGTCCACATTGAGTAATACAAAGCGTTTTTTTCTTTCACCTTTCGTTCAGTACATATACAATTTTAGATTTTTTATTATTTTATTGACATCTTTAAAGTCTAGATTTGTTATCTAATAGCTAATATGTGTATTAAGGATGTTAGAAATGTTGGCTAGTATATTTAGGTAGTAATAATGTTGTGTGTTTGGACAAAGTTTGCCATAGTATTATCACACACACACACACACACACACACACACACACACACACACACACACACACACACACATATATATATATATATATATATATATATATATATATATATATATATATATATATATATATATATATATATATATATATATATATATATATAAGCATCAGAATTCCTATGACCTTTTTAGTTGGAGTAACTGACTCTGACATTAGGATCCTTGATCCTTCTTAGGTTCCTGAGGGCATTAGCTTTAGGCTTGGTTAGCATTAGTATTAAAATACTAACATTATCATAGATGTAATTTTTGGTAGGTTGTTGAAATCCAATATTATAGACTCTGTATGCATTTTAGCATCTGGCTGTTTCTTTGATGCACAAATTGGATATAGATTTTATATATCAACATGTTCTGGGTCACTAAAATAGATTTATTTATTTTATTTATTCATTTCAAGCAATTGCATGCATTGAAACATACAAGTGAATGCTAGTTCATCATTTTAAACGTATGAGTCATATTATAACTAATAGAAAAAAGAAAAAGAAAAAAAAAACAGAACTGAAAGACAGTGAGAAGAAGAAAACTTATTAAATATCATAGTAAGCATGTATATATTTCCAGCTACTTTTTTCTTTTTTTTTTTTTCCTTAATGGCAACTTATAACACAAAATTAAAGCAAAAGCAGTTTAAAAATAATAATAATAATGTTTCCAGTACTGAGAACAAATAAGCAAAATCGCAATTGTGTTAATCCAGCAGTTAATTAATTACATAGTATCGTTTTGTTTTTTCAGCATACCAGCAATGGTAAGGAAGAACTACAAGCACACATTAACATTCACTAATTTACATTTAAGGGAAGGAGAAATTGTGTTAAGATAAAACAAGTAGGACGGTGAAACATGCAGTGGGCGATCATATTGTTTCAATGTTCATGCACAGGTTGAATTCCAAACAGAAATGTTTGATGAGAGATTCTGTTGCAAAGTGATGAACTCTGACATATTGTCCCTTGGAAAGTAAATAAACTTTCAAATGGTTCTCTGCCGAATCCAGTTCTCACATTAAGTAGCTGCTCTAATGGTGAACATATCATCACAATTAAAGGGAAGAGACAGGTTTTCTTTGCAAAAACCAGTATAATTTTTCAGAGTTATGGTTTTTTCTCTGCAAAGCTGAGTTCTCCATGACTGTTTTATTATAAGCATGCCCCTCTATTCCACTAATGACAGCTCCCTGCTGCTTTTTTCTGAATTACTATCCAATCTTAACACTCCTTTCATAAAAGTACTTTTCTGTGCCCTCTTTCTTTCTATTGTTCTCCTCTTATATTTCCTGCTCTGCTGATATCACTGGTTGCCTGGGGCTCTGATTCGCTTCTGTTCCGCCTGGTCGCTCTCTGATTGGATGCGTCTTTTTGCGCTGTCCGGCCTCTGATTGGGTAGGAGTATATCCGTAGACAGCTGGAGGAGGAGCAGAGGCAGCTGGAGATCCTGCAACAGCAGCTTCTGCAAGAGCAAGCTTTACTGCTGGTAACACAACATGCAAACACACACGTAGATGCAGATAATCTGATTCTAGAGATAAGACCCACTGAAACCATTTCTCATCTTCAGTTCTTTGAGGAAGGTATATTTAGAATCTCTGAACTCTGTGGTTTGCAGCTTATTCTAAACCAATTAAGTCTGAAAGTTAAAGTTTCAGATATAGAAATGTTATTTAAATGCAGCATAGAGTACAGGACTGGGTGGAAGAACCGCGGTGAGAAAGGTGAGCTTCAATGGCTGCCTGAAACCGTAGCTCACCACAGATATACGCCTCAAAGTGCGCATGCGCAGAAAAGATAGCTAACGGGACGAGCACGTAGGACAGCCTTACGTAAACACGCCAACAGAATGATTGACAGCTAGGAGGACCACTTCTTTAGATGATCCTCCCGGAAATAAAAGATCGTCCTCTATACCTTCAATAAATAACAATCAATTGCATTTTAATTGAAAACAATATATCGACAAAATGCAAACATTTTTCTAATCATAAACCCTTTTTAGCTCTTATGGAATAAATCTACATCTGAGCACAGCATTTACTCTTTTTAATCCATTATTTAGCCTATTCAACTGTGCCACTGGTTTTAAGTTAAAATCATTTAGCTTTTTATTCATATTTTATGCAACTTGAAGTACTGCTTTGATCAGTATATGGACACTATTATAACGCAATTTATTATATTGAATACGGTAAAAATATATAAATACATAGCAACTATGCATACAATACTGCATATAAGAGTTTAAGTGTTGCTGTAAAAACAAAATAAGGTTCCATTGTTAATACAGACATTAGAGAGATTAAAGCATTGTACAGAAAAAATGGCTGCCTGTGCTTCATATTAACATGTATGCAAGAAACAGTGAATTTAATGACTTCAGTATGTATTTTAAAAAGTGCAACTTACTGCTTTCATTTTTCAAGGCTTTGAAATCAAAATAATACATTTTTCAAAATCAATGTGTTGTCCCAACCTTATTTTTATGATAATTTGTAATTTGTGTTTGAGACCACTGTCCTGATCTAGCTGCTAAGTTAAACATAATTTTATTTTAAATAGTTTTCTATCATGTTTCTGTCCCTGATAAAATATCTACACAGTGTTATACTGCCACCGTCGTGCTTGACAATAAGCCCAGTGCTCTGTTGTTGCTCCTCGTCTTTCTGGCTGAAAAGCTCAGTCTTGTGTTACCATAGAAATTTCCTCTTGAAGACATTTGGCTTGTCAGTTAACTTTAAACTTGCTTCTTTTAAGTTTCTACCTCTGCAGTCCTAAACTTTGGTGTTTTCTGGGGGGGTTTTTTTGTCTTTCCCAGACATAACCAATTTCTCTTCATCCAAGGTTAACCATTTCAGTCTTATTTCCCACAATATAAAAAAGCTGTCCCTTGTTCAGGGCCCTGTCACACCTTGCTGATTTAGCCAGCGAATGCCTGACGTCCCAGAATCTCCTAAAACGCTGGCATACGCTGAACTTTCTATGTATTTTTCCAACTTTGGGCGTATACATAGCATATTCATAACGAGTCCAGAACGTAAGTCCAACGACAGCCTAACTTATGCATAATGAGGGGTGCGCCTGGAGGCGCCCAGTCTGCATAAAAACATTTATTTGATCACAGTATTAACCTAGCTGCTGTTTACCAACTGCCCAAAAAATGAAAAAAAAAAAAAGAAAAATAAAAAGAAAGAAAGAAGGTTTGCTGTCGCAGCAGATTCAGCATCATGTTTTCTAGGAAGTTTGTTGGTGGTGGGCGTGAACGCAGGGAGGATCCATCACTCACCTTCTGGCTCACCCTATGATGGGGATGAAGTCTGGAGGAGAACTGATGGTTTCCTCCTGTGAAGCCTCTTTCATATGTATATCAACATGTACCAGCGTGTTTCAGCGTACCTCAGCATACTCATAACTCAATGTACCCATAACTTATTCAACGTACGCCAGCATTTTTGCCAGATTTTTCGTATGTCAGGCATACGCTGGTCTTTATAGTCAAGGTGTGACAGGGGCTGCAAACTATGGCTGCAAACTTCTAAAAGTATGGGAGCGACTCCTGTCATATGCATTATGGGGGTTTAAACGTCTCTGTTGCTTCTTTTGTCTGCAGGAGTACAAGAGGAAGCAGATTGAGGAGCAGCGGCAGGCGGAGCGGCTGCAGAGGCAGCTGCAGCAGGAGCGGGCCTACCTGGTGTCTCTGCAGCAGCAGCAGCAGGAGCCTCCCCGGCCGCCACAGGACAAGAAGCAGCTTTACCATTACAAGGATCAGGCGCCAAGCAGCAACGACAAGCCAGCCTGGGCCAAAGAGGTAACCTGCAGGGTCCCAGACTTAAACTCCATCACATTTACCTTCATGGAGATCCGTTTCTCTGTGTAGAGTCATGAAAACTCCGCCTGAGATTTTCTGCTCTGTTGTAGCATTCTGATTTTCCTCCCAGGGACATGATCTCCATATGGAAACTTTAAGCTCTCCTCAAACTCAAATCAAAGCTTTTCTTTTAAATCTACAGGTTTATACTTACAGTGCCGTGGAAGCTGGACCACAGAGAGCCTCAGATTTGTTTTGGTTTGCTTCCTTGCAGGTATCTTCAGAGCTGCTCCCAGTGTTTTTCATGAGCCCAGAAATGTCACCCTGTGTCTTTATTTCTCTTAACAGATGAAAGTAAAGAGCTCGGAAATTCTGCCAATAAAAAAATCTTTAAAAAGTCTTAGTCATAACTCAGCAGACGGATAAATCCCTTTTTTTTTTTTCTTTTAAAGGGCATCAGAAGTTGCTTGGTGCCTTTTAATGCTGGAAACATTTTGTTTCTGAACATTTTAACGAAATTACTCAGCTTTGTTTATTTTTTCATTCAGACTCTGCTTTTACTGGTTTGTGTTTTTCTATAGTAAGAATAAGGAGGTCCACTTATTAATACATCCATGTTATATTTAAACACAAAAAAAAAGTAGAGGGAATCTACAGGTGCTTAAAAAGCAAGAGAAGGAGCATGGTCTTATGGTTGTGATATATTGAAGGCCTCTTTGTATTAAATCTGCAATCAGAATGTTTTAATTCCGTGTAGAGAGAAGTTAATGTGTGTGTCTGGAATAAAACCAGTCATGTCAGTATTTATTATCCATGTGCACTTTTGGGAGAAATCTGACTTAATAGTCACTCATTTATCACAAGACAGCCCAGGGATACACAAAACAGAGAAGCATGAAGAGGCTCATACCTAAGGATAATTTAAAGAGAGCAATTAAGCATTATGTATTTGGGCTGTGGGTGGAAGCAGAAGTACCCTGAGGGAACCTACCGTAGGGGGAGAACATGCATGCTTCCCTACCGCAAGGCAAAAGTGTAACTTACTGCACGGATAAAGTTAAAGTTAATTTAACATAAAAAAATGACATTAGTACTGCTATATTTGTCTCTGCTTCAGAGCACGGACATGGCTGTAATCTGGAGCCGCCATCGGCTTACATTTAAATACTTCCTGTTTCATGATACAGAAAACTCCGACTTTCAGCATAATGTGATTTACTAAGCAATTAATCTGTCACTGTCATGTCTTTTCCTCTGGGAGGAAAACTCTGAGGAGTGCAGAACGTGACAAAACTACAAACAAAACTAAAATCCAACAAAGTGAGGATAACCGGATTCCTTCTAAAACAATGATTGTTTTAGAAAGTGTAAAATATGGCAAGAATAATGGCATAAAATGCTGTTGAAGGAGTTGATTATTTCAATGTTTTTCTCTTTGAATAACAACGCTGTGAAATGTATTATGAATGACAGAAAATAGCGATTTAACAGGAAAACAACTTGTTATGTTACCAACAATCTAGTTTAGATTTGAAGGCATTAAGCTGATTGATTGTGTCAATAAGGGGGGTGAGGTTGCTTGAGGACCCAAATGCAGTGATGAGTGAAACAGAGATGAGTTCTTGTGGGTTAAATGAAAAAAACTAAGGCAGACATCCAAAAATACGAAATAAAAAGAACCAAAAACCAGAAAACATCAGGAAAAACTCACATGGGAGGCCAGAGACAAAGAAGGAACTAACAACAACAAGGAACCAGCAAAACATTGGCTGTGTTTGTATTTATGGGCTCGTCTTCCAAGGAGGCGTTCTTCCTGGACTGGATCCTTCAAAGTCCGTGAAAATAACGAGACCAGAAGAGTTTTGGCTGTAATTTGAAACAGGTCTAGCCTTAGCCGGCTTTCACCACCGTATGTCGCCTAGCAACCGTGACACTTCACAGAAAGCAGGAAAAGAATGAATACCGATCTTTTCAAAACTATTTCTTTTTAATTTTTTTCTTTTTTTATTGTAAAGTGGACAAAGACTACACTCACGAGAATCCAGAGTGGAATAAAGGTTCCAACCACCGGGAGCAAATAAAAGAAAAAGTAGTGATACAAACCTTAGTCAGTTAAATAACCTGCTGCTGTCATTCTGCACATCTCTGATGTTGCTGCTATTTTCGAATATCCATTACTGTAAAAATGTCCATAGTTGTATATTGGTTATTAACTTTAGAGTACAGTATTTTATTGTTTATCTTTTAACTCTTCACTATTATTTTATTCTTATTTTTCTAAGGTCCTCATTTATGTGACCGTTTTTTACTATAATCTTTTTGCTTCTTTAAACACCAGAATTTTCTCATTTTGAGACAATCAAGGGATTTTTAAAATTCTATTCCATAAAAGGGGGAGAAAGAATGTATGTATAAAAATATACCTACAAATTAATTTCAACAACAAAAAGTAATTAGTTATGCAAATTGTGCAAAAAAAATAGCAATAAAAAATAAAAATCCTATCAGATTTATAGTCCCCACACTGCAGATTATTATTATTAAATTACAGCCAAATACATTTACACAGTAACAGATAAAAACCTTTAGATAAACCAAACATTACCTCAACATATCTGACTCAATAACCATTAAAACAACTATTTTCAAGCATTTCAGACGGAACTATTCACTGACTTGAATTTTATTAAACTGAACATCCAATATTCACCACTGTTTGGCGCCATTTCCCTTTTTCCTCTGACCACGGAGCAGCCGGCTTGCTTGGTCTCGCAATGAATCCTGAGATAACAAGGATAGATAAGATACACAGGACCCGTCTTTCAAATCGGGCAAAAAGAAGGACGCATTTGTAGGCTGCATAACGAGGAGTCTTGGAATCCGACCAGACCTCAGCGCCGCACTACTATATCGGCCTTTGGAGGACGAAGCCCATAAATTCAAATACAACCAGTGACCGAAAATGAGGTGGATAGATGGGAGACTGAACAAAGATAATTAGCAGATATGGAGCAGATGTGGACAGAGGAGTCTAGAAAGGAGCTAGGGAAAAAGACTGACAGAAGACGACAGCAGAGGGCAAACAATACCTAAGAGCTTCAAATACAATCAAAAATAACTAGAATAACACAAAATGGAAAAGAAACCAATAAACAAGCAAACACAGAAAGACATGAATCAAAGTATAAAAGAAAACTCAAAAAAGAAAACTTAAATAAAAACAAAAAGTCCTGAAAGGTTGACTAAAGGACCGTAGGGCGCTTTGGTGTAAAGGTTGAATAGAATAAAAAAATTGATTCACATTATTTCATTAAAAATAAAGCCTGTTCTGTAAGAAAAGTGAGATGAATTTTAGGTGTAAACCTTATTGAAATATGGTGCTGATGACCCTTTAACAAACCAATTTATGAGGATTCAAAAGCTTCAAACTTAATGAGTGTTTTCATCCCATCAGTGGACGTCTTGGGTTTAATGCTTAATGTCTCCCATCCCCCGCTCCCTTTTAACTGACTCTTCTTCAGGTGATGCGACGAGCTCAGAGCAATTCACCTCGCATCCCCCCAAAGAAGTATCACTCCTTCAAAGAGAAGCGGGAAGTCAACCTGGACAACCTCCTCCTGCTGCCTGGTTACAGGCCTCCCCGGCCCCGCCCCCCTTCTTACCCTGCTCATGTCAGCCCCTCCAGGGACAACCTGCATGTACCCAGAATCCGGATCACCTGCCTACCCGAGGAGAATTATTCAGACCCACCGATGAGGAGGGAGAGTCCCGGCAGGAGCCCTGTGAGGTGCCCTGACTCCAGGGGCCGCAGCCCCGCCCGCCGGGTCAGTCGGACAGACAGACAGATGCCTCCTCCTGGTTCTGCAGCCTCAATGAACCCTAACCTGTTCCTATTAACTGCTTTATTTCTCTAACCAGGTGAACTCACATCCTTTAACTCTGGCTGCTGCAGCTCAAATGGTGATTTACCTTGTTTGAAAACCTCCCACTGGTTTATCTAAACACTTCTCTTTGGATTTTCTGGAGTTTCTAACAACTAACCTTAAAAAACTGAAGCTCTGATCTCTTCAAACAGTACTCAGCTGTCCATATTCAGGGTGCTGTTGATGAAGAAGCTGGTGTTCAATTCAGTCTCTTTAATCTGTACTGTTTATTCATTCAAAGAAATGCTAGTACCGAGTTGAAAAATTGGTCAAAAACCTCTTTCAATGCAACAGCAATGTTCTGAGTGAGATTAAAAGCAATACACAGAGACACACCAGCTCACTTCCTGTCATGAGTCATTACTTTTTTCTCCCTCAAAGCTGTTTAACCTTCTTTTTTCAAGTCTCTGGAACCTTTATCTTTTACCAAAGTGGGATCTAATGGTGTTTTATTGCATGATGTCCTTGGTTTTAATGTCTAACAGGTACTAACTTCAACCACTAATTTAAACTTTCCTTTCCCAGGTTTCATTCTTTTTTGTCTTTTTTTTTTGCATGATATATATGTTTCTTTCACTGAAATTTTGTTTTTTATAATTGTTTTAAGTGATGCCTCTCAAACTGCGGCTGTATTTGAGCCCTGAAAACATAAATCAAGGCTGTAAATGCAAGCAGTGCCATGTACCCATTTAGGGCAGATTTGCAGGCCTGCCCCCTGGTGGCAGCTGGTAGACAGATGTAGGGCATTGGCAGCTATTTTTAGTGGCACTGTGTGCAGAAAGGTCTATCCTATTCTAAGCTTTATAGGACTTCCCTCAAGGCTTAAGAAGAAAACTAAATAACAACACAGAGATACAAATGTGCTGGGCTTTAGAAGGAGCAATTAAGAAAGACGTTTTTTACTTATCTGAAATTTTGCCATTTCACAGTTCGTACACACAAAGGATTAGGATGGATGGATGGATGGATGGATGGATGGATGGATGGGTGGATGGATGGATGGATGGATGGATGGATGGATGGATGGATGGTACTACTAAAATGCATTGACACAGTAAATAAGGATTGGCAGAGTGTTGTTGTAACAAAGGAAAGATAAGGTTAGAGATAAAAGGAAAGAGGAGATAAAAGCAGGTGATCTGCTTTGGCGCCTAAAAGACGGAGCAGCTAGATTAAACTTTGGATTTGTAAAAATACACTTAGCTATATTTCACATTCGATTAACTATTAATTTCATATTCCTTGATATTTTAAATAATTTATTCAGGCCTTTTCAGTCACTAAAGGTCCAACTGCTTTGTCAGTTTTATAATTTGGTGGTCGGTCTGACAATTCACACAGCTAAAAAGTTGTTAAACAAAAACAAATAATTTGAAGTATAGTGCATTTGAAATATAAGAATTACAAAGGAGTATTAGGGCCATACTAAGCAATATATATTTTTAGGTTACAATAAAAAATTAAAGCCATACAATTACAAGAACAAAGTCATAACATTGGTTCTAAGACATAAAAGTTGTATTCCCAGAATAAAAATAAATATGGTAATAAGGTTGTAGCATTACTAGAATTAAGTTGTAACATTATTGTAATGGTCGTAACATCATAAGAATTGACTGGTGACATTACCATGATGACGTTGTAACATTACCGTAATGAAGTCGTTGCATCTCATAATGTCGTAAAATTACCAGAATGAACTGGTAACATTACTGTATTAAAGCTGTAATGTTACCGTAATGAAGTTGTTACATCTTCATAATGAATTCATTACATTACCCGAATTAACTGGTAAAATTACCATAAGCCATAGCATTACTGTGATGAAGTAGTTACATGTCTGTAATGATGTCATAACATTACCAGAATGAAATGGTAACGTTATTGTAATGTAGTCGAAACATTACCAGAATGGACTCGTAACATTACCATAATGAAGTAGTAACATTAATAGAATGAACTGGTAATGTTACCATGATAAAGTTGTAACATAAGTAGGATGGACTGGTAACATTTTGAAGTCCTAACATTAGCTGAAGGAATTGGTAACATTACCATAATTAAGTTGTAACATTACTAGAATGGACTGGTGACGTTACCGTAATGAAGTTTTAACATTGCCATAATGAAGTCGTAACATTACCAAAATGAACTAGTAACATTATTGTAAACAAGTCACAACATTATCAGAATAGACTGGTGTCGTTACCATAATGAAGCCGTAACACTAACCGAATAAACTGGTAACATTATCGTAATGACGTCGTAACAGCGGCGTAGGAAGCGGGGGGACGGGGGGGACATGTCCCCCCCAATATAAAAGCCAGGTGGATATGTCCCCCCCAAAAAATTGTACCGCAAAATATTAGATTTTGACAATTTTTTAACTATCGTGCTTTTATTTTGAAGGCGCAGCATAGCGTTACGTCACTGTACTCCCCCTCCCCTCTGTGAACTGTTGAGTGTTTGAGCACTCAGAAGGGAGGGAAACAGCGATACAGAAAGTCAGAAACTTGTTAATGAGGTAAAATGGTCTGTCGGGAATGCTGCTATGAATATTGCCTATTTATAACATCTTGTTGTCAGTTCACTTTCATATATAGAAACAATCTTTTTGGTTTAGGCATCTTAGTCTTGTAGGAAGAGAATTAGGGCCACTGAAAAAAGTTAACTGATTTTTAATTTTTTTTTTAGTTTAACATGGGGGGAAAAGTCAGAATTCTGACTGAAATTCAGAATTCTGACTTTTCTCAGAATTCTGACTTTAATCTCAGAATTCTGACTTTTTTTTCTGACTTCTTTCTCAGATTTCTGACTTTAATCTCAGAATTCTGACTTTTTTCTCAGAAATCTGACAGATGATTAATATTTCTAATCAATTTACAGTTTTGTTTTTTTTGGTGGGGGGGGGGGTACTATACAGATATATAAAAACAAGAAGGTCTAACTAAAAAATAACCAGAATATATGTTTAGAGTAAAGATTGACTACTTGTGTTTACACAAGCACACAAGAAAATGTAAAATATACGTATAAAGAAATATAACAGGAAGTACTGCTAAAACAAACTAAATGTTAAATAATGTAGATATTGCTTTAAAAAATTCTTTAGATTTGGAAATTTGGAAGGAATACATAATTTTGAAGCTAATCAACAAATCTGGTAAAAAAAATTAAATAAATAAAAAAGTTGCACTTTTTTACTTGAGGAATTTGTTGAATAACTTCATAATTATGAGTTTAACTAGTTGGAGTTAATGCTACACTTCTCTGCTTCCTGTCCTGCTCATAAAAGGTAAACATTATAAACCCACCATTAATTTTCTACACTATTTGGAAAACACAACACAAATGTAATATAACAAAAGTATGTTTAACAACAATCATGTTAGCATCCAGCCATAGCCATGTCTCTTTTAGAGACTAGCTCTCTTGTTTTAATGACCTTCTGCTCCTCCATTAATGAGGGGACCCCTCGGGCACGTAAAAAGTTGCCTAATTCCGTCATTTTCCACCAATGTGTCACTGGCCCTCTCAAACAACTCACTTCTTTGTCAGTGAAGCTGAGTGCTCCACCAATCTGCCTTCATGGTGCCCATCTACATTAAGATCCATAATTCTGAGAAAAAAAGTCAGAATTCTGAGAAAAAAAGTCAGAATTCTGAGATTAAAGTCAGAATTCTGAGAAAAAAAGTCTTAATTCTGAAAATAAAAGTCAGAATTCTGACTTTTTCCCGTATTAAACTGAAATAAAATGTAAAAATCACTTAACTTTTTTTTTTTCAGTGGCCCTAATCCTCTTCCGTAGTCTTGGGATGATCACTCATCCAATATTTAACTGCTTACTTTCTCTAGACGTTTGCCACGCTAGCCAAAATGTTTTTTTTATATATTTTTTTTTTATATCTCATTTCAGTACAATGCCACCACCAACTAAAAGGCTGAAACAGCAGTAGGACTTACTCAGATTTTTTTAAGAGAAACGTCAGTGTGAGTAACAGTCACCTAACACAACTTGTGTTGAAATTAGCCCGGTCTGGGCGTGCGTTTTACGAGGATTTTTTATTTTTTGCATGGTTTTGATTCGCCGAAATGGACAGATGTTATACCTGCCGTGCTCCTGATCGTTAGTTAACCAAAGGGAGAATTAATTCTAATTCTTAGCAGCGGCGGCCGCATTGGTCGTGCAGCGGACTGCTGCACAACCACTAATTAACCAACTAATTAACTTCTGCATCTTTATTTCCTCAAATAAACTGCTGGCTCCTCTTTTTACACTATAAACAGATTAACACAACATTGACAACTCTGTAGTTTTCTCTGTTCTGTCCTGCAAATTGGAATTAAAGGTGCCATTTCTACCAAAGGTCTGGACAGACTGGCCACCTGTCTAGGGTGGACCCCGCACCAGCACCTCCCGACCCCACTAAGGGACAGGGTGTACAGAAAATGGAAGGATGGATGGATTTCTACCAAAGATTGATAATGCGTTTTTGAACCAGATGCTTCAAAGCGCCCTGTCCATAATTCTTCAACACACTGTCAGCTCCCTCTGTCAGTCAACCTATATAAATTCATTTTTGACCATTATTGCAAGTTTGACAAAATAAAACATATCAAACTTTGCACTTGTGTGGCCTACTGAATTGTTTTGATTTTCTAGTGCGTATGCGGACACTAACTATGCCAAGGGCTGAAGCCCTAGAAAGACATCTCCCTTTGCTTAATAAAATACTCCAGTCATTTTGTTTGGTGATATGCTCACATCTTATGAACAAATGCATTATGTTAATTTTAAATGCATTATTTTTGCAAACACATTTATAAAGGAATAAAGTAAAAGATTAAATAGCCTTTTTTTAAGTAGCGTACTTAAGATATGTTTCTGTTGAATATTTACGAATCTCAGATTTCCGACATGTGTCCCCCCCAATTGTAAACATATTCCTACGCCCTTGCGTCGTAACATTTCCAGAATGAACTGGTAACATTAATGAAGTTGTAACATTACCAGCAAAAAGTTGTAACAGTATGACTAAAGTCATGTTATTACAAGTATAGTTTAAATATGAGATAATGCAATATTATGACATTAAAGAAGCCTTTTATGTTAACTCCTACAAGAAATAGCATTCTTGCTCCTGAGTTAAATGCCCAGCTCACTGTGCTGTTTGAGAGAGCTTGGTTGATAACTTTAATGAAGATTTCCTCTTAAAAAACAGTGTTTTAGTCAGGGTTAACCATTACGATTTTATTCTTGTAATGACATAACTTTATTCTTGAAATAAATAAGTCTTTTTATGGCCCAAATACTTATCTTAAGAAATATCTTGGTTATATCATATCCTTTATGTCTTTATGTCAGATTTTATCCTGCCTTTTAAGCTTTCTTTTTTTTATGAAACAGCACTATTGAGCTCAGAAATCAGAGGACAGTTATCCTTAAAAAAGGGCTATCAGCATGGTAACTAAACACTCTGTGACCTATAAACTCTGACCAGGGGCCCGTTTACCAACATGGACCCAGAGCAGGCTGATTTACCTTAATGAGACACACATTTGTTGCATGCCAAGTGACCGTTGTCTGATGTTTGTGTCAGGTGGAGGAACATTATAAGATGAACAGACAGGGTTCTCCTGCATTGCAGCATAAAGTGTCCAACCGGATCTCGGACCCATCCTTGCCGCCCCGCTCTGAGTCCTTTAGCAGTGGAGGAATCCAGCAGGCCCGGACTCCACCCATGCACCGCTCCGTAGAACCGCAGGTCAGTACACCACAGCTTCAGATGGATGGATGGATGGACATACAGGGCATACAGAACAACAACAAAAAGAAGCAGGTACCTAAATAGAACCAACAATCTGAGAGAACGAACCTGAACTGCCTGGTCTAGCTGCTGCGTGTGAACTTAACCCTTTGAGATTTGGAGCAAATGAGAGCTTTTCCTTATTCCTGTGAACACCCTTTTTTCTCACCTTGATCACTCTTCCTGACCTGCTTCCTGATCACCTACTAATACCTTCTGATCCTGCTCTTCTCTCTCCTGCTCTCCTCCACCTGGCCTGTTTCCTGCCTGTGTGTGCGTGTGTGTGTTCAGATGGCCCACCTGGTGCAGGTGAGGAGTCACGGCCTGTCAGGCTCCCAGTCCCTGTACGACCCCCACGGCGTGTCCTCCACCTCCGCGTCGCCCTCCCCCTCCCGGCCTCCCATGCCCCGGCAGAACTCCGACCCCACGTCCGACACCCCTCCTCCCCCGCCACTGTCCCGCCTGGCACCCCCCCTCGACAAACTGGACCGCAGCTCGTGGCTGCGACAGGATGACGACATGCCGCCCAAGGTTTCTGCATGCTGCCGATTGAGTGTGTTAGCATTAGTGCCCACTTTCCTTTTCTTTTCAGTCTTGTGATGTTTCAGCATTAAGGTTGTTCACTTTGTGCTCATCTCATCCTCATCGTTGTTTTTCTGTCTCATTGGAAACGGGTCTTTTTTTTCTCTTTTTTTTTTTTTTTGGACCAACAACTATTGAGCCACATTTCAAAGTCTTAACTGTGATTAAGAGGGATTAATATTTGATGTTAAGGAGAAAGAGAACAGATTGATTGATTGTTTTTAACAATTTTTCCAATTTTTTTTCAAATTCATTTTATGCCAATAGAAAGCAAGTTTTATTTTCTTTTAAGTTTTACTTCCATTTAAAAATTTCCCCATCAGAAAGGAAAATGCTTGTATGGTTTTGGCTTCCCTGCCAATTTAAACGACATTTTAATTTTTTAACTCTACCTTTGATTTGGGTGAATTTATTGACATGTATATAAAACATTTGTAGGATTTTTTTGCCTTTAAAGCAACGCTGCCTAACTTTTGACCCAAGTATTGGCTTAATTTGAGATATATTAGATCATTTTCAATATTTTCAATTTTCAGTTCAGCTCTTGGTGCGTATTGATGCTCCATGCAAGCTTATCTTTTAGAAAAATGTATCTATCTGTTTTTTACAGCATCTGTTTTGCTTTGTCCACAAAAGCATTTTCCTGATAGATGTAGCACCATTCAGGAGAAATGAAAAGGTTTTTTAATAGTAAGAGGTTTAATATAAAGAAATTATCAATCAGGTAAAAATTATTTACTTTCAATACAAAGTATTTTGCTCATTAGATAATCTGATACTAGATTCCCTGATCTCAAAAAGTTGTTAGTATTAAATGAAACTGTGTGTTTCCAGGTTCCTCAAAGGACCACTTCCATTTCACCTGCCTTGGTCCGTAAGAACTCTCCTGGAAACGGTCCTGGACTCGGTCCACGGGCTGGAGCTCACCTCATCCGGGCCAGGTACGTCCACACAGTGAGGGAGAGAAAGAAAAGAGGCTGAAGAGCTCTCAAATACCTGCTGTGTGTTCACCGGCGGGATTTAAAAGGTTTCCTTTTATGAATGAAACGGCGCTGTGTTCTTGTTGCCATAGCAACCCTGACCTGCGGAGGACTGATATTTCCATGGATACGCCTCTGAAGAGGACGAGCAGCGGCAGCTCTTCCAGCTCCAGCACCCCCAGCTCCCAGGGAGGCTCCAACGAACGAGGTGAGTGTCAGTCCTCTCTTCCTTTTCCTGTGTCTAACAGCTGGTGTCCATCACCTGTTGTCCATCACCTGGTGTCCAGCACCTAGTTTTCATCACCTGGTGTCCATCACCTAGTGTCCAACAGCTGGTGTCCATCACCTGGTGTCCATCACCTGGTGTCCATCACCTGGTGTCCAGCACCTGGTGTCCAGCACCTAGTTTTCATCACCTGGTGTCCATCACCTAGTGTCCAACAGCTGGTGTCCATCACCTGGTGTCCATCACCTGGTGTCTATCACCTAGTGTCCAACAGCTGGTGTCCATCACCTGGTGTCCAGCACCTAGTTTTCATCACCTGGTGTCCATCACCTAGTGTCCAACAGCTGGTGTCCATCACCTGGTGTCCATCACCTGGTGTCCATCACCTGGTGTCCAGCACCTGGTGTCCAGCACCTAGTTTTCATCACCTGGTGTCCATCACCTAGTGTCCAACAGCTGGTGTCCATCACCTGGTGTCCATCACCTGGTGTCTATCACCTAGTGTCCAACAGCTGGTGTCCATCACCTGGTGTCCATCACCTGGTGTCCAGCACCTGGTGTCCAGCACCTAGTTTTCATCACCTGGTGTCCATCACCTAGTGTCCAACAGCTGGTGTCTATCACCTAGTGTCCAACAGCTGGTGTCCATCACCTGGTGTCCAGCACCTGGTGTCTATCACCTAGTGTCCAACAGCTGGTGTCTATCACCTAGTGTCCAACAGCTGGTGTCCATCACCTGGTGTCCAGCACCTAGTTTTCATCACCTGGTGTCCATCACCTAGTGTCCAACAGCTGGTGTCCATCACCTGGTGTCCATCACCTGGTGTCTATCACCTAGTGTCCAACAGCTGGTGTCCATCACCTAGTGTCCAACAGCTGGTGTCCAGCACCTGGTGTCCAGCACCTAGTTTTCATCACCTGGTGTCCATCACCTAGTGTCCAACAGCTGGTGTCTATCACCTAGTGTCCAACAGCTGGTGTCCATCACCTGGTGTCCAGCACCTGGTGTCTATCACCTAGTGTCCAACAGCTGGTGTCTATCACCTAGTGTCCAACAGCTGGTGTCCATCACCTGGTGTCCAGCACCTAGTTTTCATCACCTGGTGTCCATCACCTAGTGTCCAACAGCTGGTGTCCATCACCTGGTGTCCATCACCTGGTGTCTATCACCTAGTGTCCAACAGCTGGTGTCCATCACCTAGTGTCCAACAGCTGGTGTCCATCACCTGGTGTCCAGCACCTAGTTTTCATCACCTGGTGTCCATCACCTAGTGTCCAACAGCTGGTGTCCATCACCTGGTGTCCATCACCTGGTGTCCATCACCTGGTGTCCAGCACCTAGTTTTCATCACCTGGTGTCCATCACCTAGTGTCCAACAGCTGGTGTCCATCACCTGGTGTCCATCACCTGGTGTCCATCACCTGGTGTCCAGCACCTAGTTTTCATCACCTGGTGTCCATCACCTAGTGTCCAACAGCTGGTGTCCATCACCTGGTGTCCATCACCTGGTGTCCATCACCTGGTGTCCAGCACCTAGTTTTCATCACCTAGTGTCCAACAGCTGGTGTCCAGCACCTGGTGTCCATCACCTGGTGTCTATCACCTAGTGTCCAACAGCTGGTGTCCATCACCTGGTGTCCATCACCTGGTGTCCAGCACCTAGTTTTCATCACCTGGTGTCCATCACCTAGTGTCCAACAGCTGGTGTCCATCACCTGGTGTCCATCACCTGGTGTCCATCACCTGGTGTCCAGCACCTGGTGTCCAGCACCTAGTTTTCATCACCTGGTGTCCATCACCTAGTGTCCAACAGCTGGTGTCCATCACCTGGTGTCCATCACCTGGTGTCTATCACCTAGTGTCCAACAGCTGGTGTCCATCACCTGGTGTCCATCACCTGGTGTCCAGCACCTAGTTTTCATCACCTGGTGTCCATCACCTAGTGTCCAACAGCTGGTGTCCATCACCTGGTGTCCATCACCTGGTGTCCATCACCTGGTGTCCAGCACCTAGTTTTCATCACCTGGTGTCCATCACCTAGTGTCCAACAGCTGGTGTCTATCACCTAGTGTCCAACAGCTGGTGTCCATCACCTGGTGTCCAGCACCTGGTGTCTATCACCTAGTGTCCAACAGCTGGTGTCTATCACCTAGTGTCCAACAGCTGGTGTCCATCACCTGGTGTCCAGCACCTAGTTTTCATCACCTGGTGTCCATCACCTAGTGTCCAACAGCTGGTGTCCATCACCTGGTGTCCAGCACCTAGTTTTCATCACCTGGTGTCCATCACCTAGTGTCCAACAGCTGGTGTCCATCACCTGGTGTCCATCACCTGGTGTCTATCACCTAGTGTCCAACAGCTGGTGTCCATCACCTAGTGTCCAACAGCTGGTGTCCATCACCTGGTGTCCAGCACCTAGTTTTCATCACCTGGTGTCCATCACCTAGTGTCCAACAGCTGGTGTCCATCACCTGGTGTCCATCACCTGGTGTCCATCACCTGGTGTCCAGCACCTAGTTTTCATCACCTGGTGTCCATCACCTAGTGTCCAACAGCTGGTGTCCATCACCTGGTGTCCATCACCTGGTGTCCATCACCTGGTGTCCAGCACCTAGTTTTCTTCACCTAGTGTCCAACAGCTGGTGTCCATCACCTGGTGTCCATCACCTGGTGTCCATCACCTAGTGTCCAACAGCTGGTGTCCATCACCTGGTGTCCATCACCTGGTGTCTATCACCTAGTGTCCAACAGCTGGTGTCCATCACCTGGTGTCCATCACCTGGTGTCCAGCACCTAGTTTTCATCACCTGGTGTCCATCACCTAGTGTCCAACAGCTGGTGTCCATCACCTGGTGTCCATCACCTGGTTTCCAGCACCTAGTTTTCATCACCTGGTGTCCATCACCTAGTGTCCAACAGCTGGTGTCTATCACCTAGTGTCCAACAGCTGGTGTCCATCACCTGGTGTCCAGCACCTAGTTTTCATCACCTGGTGTCCATCACCTAGTGTCCAACAGCTGGTGTCCATCACCTGGTGTCCATCACCTGGTGTCTATCACCTAGTGTCCAACAGCTGGTGTCCATCACCTAGTGTCCAACAGCTGGTGTCCATCACCTGGTGTCCAGCACCTAGTTTTCATCACCTGGTGTCCATCACCTAGTGTCCAACAGCTGGTGTCCATCACCTGGTGTCCATCACCTGGTGTCTATCACCTAGTGTCCAACAGCTGGTGTCCATCACCTGGTGTCCATCACCTGGTGTCCATCACCTGGTTTCCAGCACCTAGTTTTCATCACCTGGTGTCCATCACCTAGTGTCCAACAGCTGGTGTCCATCACCTGGTGTCCATCACCTGGTGTCTATCACCTAGTGTCCAACAGCTGGTGTCCATCACCTGGTGTCCATCACCTGGTGTCCAGCACCTGGTGTCTATCACCTAGTGTCCAACAGCTGGTGTCCATCACCTGGTGTCCAACAGCTGGTGTCCATCACCTGGTGTCCATCACCTGGTGTCTATCACCTAGTGTCCAACAGCTGGTGTCCATCACCTGGTGTCCATCACCTGGTGTCCATCACCTGGTGTCCAGCACCTAGTTTTCATCACCTGGTGTCCATCACCTAGTGTCCAACAGCTGGTGTCCATCACCTGGTGTCCATCACCTGGTGTCTATCACCTAGTGTCCAACAGCTGGTGTCCATCACCTGGTGTCCATCACCTGGTGTCCATCACCTGGTTTCCAGCACCTAGTTTTCATCACCTGGTGTCCATCACCTAGTGTCCAACAGCTGGTGTCTATCACCTAGTGTCCAACAGCTGGTGTCCATCACCTGGTGTCCATCACCTGGTTTCCAGCACCTAGTTTTCATCACCTGGTGTCCATCACCTAGTGTCCAACAGCTGGTGTCTATCACCTAGTGTCCAACAGCTGGTGTCCATCACCTGGTGTCCAGCACCTGGTGTCTATCACCTAGTGTCCAACAGCTGGTGTCTATCACCTAGTGTCCAACAGCTGGTGTCCATCACCTGGTGTCCAGCACCTAGTTTTCATCACCTGGTGTCCATCACCTAGTGTCCAACAGCTGGTGTCCATCACCTGGTGTCCATCACCTGGTGTCTATCACCTAGTGTCCAACAGCTGGTGTCCATCACCTAGTGTCCAACAGCTGGTGTCCATCACCTGGTGTCCAGCACCTAGTTTTCATCACCTGGTGTCCATCACCTAGTGTCCAACAGCTGGTGTCCATCACCTGGTGTCCATCACCTGGTGTCCATCACCTGGTGTCCAGCACCTAGTTTTCATCACCTGGTGTCCATCACCTAGTGTCCAACAGCTGGTGTCCATCACCTGGTGTCCATCACCTGGTGTCCATCACCTGGTGTCCAGCACCTAGTTTTCATCACCTGGTGTCCATCACCTAGTGTCCAACAGCTGGTGTCCATCACCTGGTGTCCATCACCTGGTGTCCATCACCTGGTGTCCAGCACCTAGTTTTCATCACCTAGTGTCCAACAGCTGGTGTCCAGCACCTGGTGTCCATCACCTGGTGTCTATCACCTAGTGTCCAACAGCTGGTGTCCATCACCTGGTGTCCATCACCTGGTGTCCAGCACCTAGTTTTCATCACCTGGTGTCCATCACCTAGTGTCCAACAGCTGGTGTCCATCACCTGGTGTCCATCACCTGGTGTCCATCACCTGGTGTCCAGCACCTGGTGTCCAGCACCTAGTTTTCATCACCTGGTGTCCATCACCTAGTGTCCAACAGCTGGTGTCCATCACCTGGTGTCCATCACCTGGTGTCTATCACCTAGTGTCCAACAGCTGGTGTCCATCACCTGGTGTCCATCACCTGGTGTCCAGCACCTAGTTTTCATCACCTGGTGTCCATCACCTAGTGTCCAACAGCTGGTGTCCATCACCTGGTGTCCATCACCTGGTGTCCATCACCTGGTGTCCAGCACCTAGTTTTCATCACCTGG